AAATTAGTCTCTGAGCAAATCAGCCTCTTAGCTAGCTCCAACCTCCAAATGAAACACGCTAGCTGAACAAAACAAAAAATGTGTTGTTGATGCATACTCATCAGAAATCAGTGGACAAGACGAGGTGACATAGACACCTCCAAAATTTCAAATAAAAATAAAAATTATCGTTTTTCACGTGTAAGACTTTTCTCACAAATTCCAAGAACAGTGTCGTTTAGGATGCCTATAAGACGGCCCATCACAAAGCCACAATTAAAACTCCCAACAGTCTCATCTCAATCTTTCCACTAGGCATAAGCAACTTCTGTTTTCACTAGTTATAGTGCGGCATAAAACAATGTCTTCTCTTCTAAGAACAAGTTTTCTTCCTCAGCATAATCTTACTTCCCACACTCGTGACCACAACAAGGTCGGTTTCTCCTCTATTGAGGTTTTCTTTTTTAAAAAAAAAAAAAAATCTTTAGAAAAATTGATATATTCATTTTGAGTTTTTAAAATATTTTCATTTTAAAAAAATATATTTGGAATTTTTTCAGTTTAAATTAAGTGGTGGAAGAAGAGTGTTTAAAGCGTCGTTGGAGAACAATAATACAAGTGAAAAGAGTAGCATTGTGACCAAAACAGGACAAGATGAGCATGTCAAGAGATTCCTTAATTTCTCAGGAGAAAAGCCATCTACTCCCATCCTTGACACCATAAATTATCCCATTCACATGAAGAATCTCTCAGTTGGGGTATTAAACCATATAGTTTAAAAGCAAATTTCAGTTTATATTCTTAATTTTAAGTAATCAATTTGTGTTATATTATGATGATTTTTATTTTTTATTTTTTATTTTTTTGGTGTACTGCGAGTGCAGGAGCTGGAAATGTTAGCTGATGAACTGAGAGAAGAAATTGTGTACACGGTTTCAAAAACCGGCGGCCACCTGAGTTCAAGCTTGGGAGTGGCGGAGCTGACGGTGGCTCTTCACCACGTCTTCAATGCCCCTGAAGATAAAATTATATGGGACGTGGGTCATCAGGTGAGCCTGCAGAGAATGGATTTACGTTCACTTGGGATATTAGTATATTACAATTAGGGATGGCTGTGACTTGCGTGGATGTCATAATCATATGTCTGCAATTCTAGTACCATTTGCCTTTTTTCTCTTTTTTTTTTTTTTTTTTTTCTTTGGTGGAAACTTTTTTCCTATTGTTATTAAAGGCAATGATTGATAGGAACCTATTTGTGTCCAATTTTTCTTTTTTTTGGTAGAAACTTTTTTCCTATTATTATTATTAAAGACAATGATGGATAGGAACCTATTTGTGTCCAATTTTTTTTTTTGGTAGAAATTTTTTTCCTATTATTATTATTAAAGACAATGATGGATAGGAACCTATTTGTGTCCAAATTTTTGTGTTGAGATTTAATTAGTTGAGAATTTAATTTTAATTAATTATTTAAAAATATTTTTTTAATAATTTTTTATGTAAAAAAAAGATAATAAT